GCTTCTCCTGACTCATGTAGAAGCAGGGGCTGACAAACCCAAGATTGGCAGATCAGACAGCAGGCTAGTGGCTCACAGGCTGCGGAGGCTGATGAATCCAAGCAATATGGCAGGCAGCTGGCTCCAGTCCCTAGGACCAGAGGTCAGATGATGTCGAGCCAGATGCAGGATCCAGAGCAAGCAAACGAGCTTTGCCAGAACATCCAAATGTATATTGGATGCAAGCCACACCCCTAAGGAAACTCTCCTTATATAACGATTCACTGATCACATCAGATCACATCATGGAGAAGGGCCACATCATTACATAACTGCCAAATTCCATCAGTACACAACTGCCAAACTACATCATTACATAACTGACAAACCACTGAGAATCATGGCCCAGCCAAGTTGACACACAACCTCAACCATCACAGTGAGTGATATATGCGGGGACAAGAAGATAAACTGGACCTCTCAACACTGGTCACAGGATGAAAAATATGTCCTTTTGGTGGCAAGTTCTCAGTGGCTGCCTGCCTAGTACACTGCAGGTCCAGCATTTCTGAGCCACTTTTGATTCATGAAGTCAACTAGACCAGGCATATAGGCGCTTCTAAAAATGTTTGATGGAAGCACGGCATCATGTGACTGAACAGGCTGGCACTGCTTGTTTGTCGAAGGAGAGGCCTTCCAAGGAAGGCCTAGTGAATCACTTCTCATCCAATGCCTGCAGACCATGATTTGGGTGGCACGTCCCAGACCCAAGTGAGTGGGTAGTCCTTTTCTCAGCCCTGCTCTTGGGAGGGTTGATAGCTCTTGCTAGTCAATTCAAACTGCAGCATGGCTACCAGTCTGAACAACAACCAAATAAAAACCTATTGCTGTCAAGTCAATTCCGACTCATGGCAACCCCATGGGGTTTTCTCAGTTGTAATCTTTATGGAAGCAGATCACCAAGCTTTTCTTCTGTGGCATCACTGCGGGGGTTTGAACCACAAACCTTTAGGTTAGTAGCCAGTTACAAATCACTTGGGACCTTGGGACCTTGGGACCTAGAGACCTTGCCAGCCTGAAAGCAACCCCTTTATCACATCTTGCTACTGTAGAAAAGGGCAAGAGTCGGGGCTTTGGACTTGGCCTCGGTTGGGATCCTAGTTCTGCCCCAACTGTGTGTCCCTTCTCTGAGTGACAGTTTCCTTATCTGTAAAAAGAGGGACAGCAATAGCACCTCCCCACAGGATAAGGATTAAATTAATCTAGGCAATGCACTTAACACTGGGCCTGGCCTGTAATAAGTGCTCAACAAATGTTTGCTGTTATTGTATCACTTCCCAGCTCAAAAACTTGCAGTGGTTACCTGTCTTAGTTATCTAGTGCTGCTGTAACAGAAATACCACAAGTATTGAGGGCTTTAACAAACAGAATTTATTCTCTCACAATTTAGGAGGCTACAAGTCCAAATTCAGGGGAAGGCTTTCTCTCTCTGTGGGCTCTAGGGGAAGGTCCTTGTCATCATTCTTACCTGGTCAAGGAGCTTCTCAGCGTAGGGACTCCAGGTCCAAAGGATTCGCTATTCTCCTACCTCTTGTTTCTTGGTGGTATGAGGTCCCCATGTCTCTCTGCTCACTTCTCTCCTCTATATCGCAAAAGAGATTGGCTCAAGATACAACCCAATCCTGTAGATTGAGTCTTGCCTCATCAACACAACTGCCTCATTAATGTCATAGAGATAGGATTTACAACACATAGAAGAATCACACCAGATGACAAAGTGGTGGACAATCACACAACAATAGGAATCATGGCCCAGCCAAGTTGACAGACATTCTTGGGGGACACAGCTCAATCCATGACACTCCCCAATGTCTAAGGGTCACAATCTGACCCCATGCTATCTTTCCAAGTTAGCCTGAGTTCCTGACAGCCCAGGACAGAGGAGAAACTTGATTTTCTCATGTTTCTTTTTTTTTTTTTTGAACATTTTATTGTTGTCTAGGTGAAACTTTACAGAACAAATTAGTTTCCCATTCAACAATTTAGACACAGCTTGTTTCATGACATTGTTTGCAAATCCCTGAATGTGTCAGCGCTCTCCTCTCCTTTCTCCCTGTTTCCTGTGTCCATTCACCCAGCTTTCTTGCCCTTACTTTCCTTCTGAACTTTGCTTTTGTGCAAATGCTGTTCTCTATGTCTCGTATAATTGACTGTTCTGAGGTGTACATTTCTTGCTGGTGTTATGTTCATTTTATAGGCTTGTCTATTGGATGGCTATAATGTGATCTCTGGGAGTGATTTCAGTTCCAAGTTTGAAGGGTATTGAAGGGCCATAGCCTTGGGGGCTCCAACAGTCTCTATCAGACCAGTATGTCCGGTCTTGTTTATGAGTTTGAATTTTGTTCTACATTTCTCTCCCACTCTGTTCATGACCTACTACTGTGGTCCTGGTCAGAGCGGTATTGGTAGTCGCGCACTATCTAGTTCTTCTGGTCTCAGGCTAGTGAGGGCCATGGTTCATGTGGCCCATTAATCCTTTGGACTAATGATTTCCTTGAGTCTTTGGTTTTCTTCATCCTTCTTTGCTCCGGATGGGAAAGAGGCCAATTGTTGTATCTTAGATGGCCACTCACAAGCTTTTTTAAAAATTTTTCTTTATTGTGCTTTAGGTGAAAGTTTATTGCTCAAGTTAATTTCTCTTACAAACATTTATACATGTGTTGTTATATGACCCTAGTTGCAATCCCTATAATGGGATGCCACACTCCACCTTTCCACCCTGGGTTTCCTGTGTCCCTCCAACCAGCTCCTGTCCCTTCCTGCCTTCTCATCCTGCCTCCGGACAGGAGCTGCCCATTTGGTCTCGTGTATCTGCTTGACCTAAGAAGCAGGAGTATTATTTTATGTTTTATAGTCCAGTCTAATCTTTGTCTGAAGAGTAGGCTTTGGGAATGGTTTCAGTTTTGGGTTAACAGAGCATCTGGGGGCCATGGCTTCAGGGGTTCCTCCAGTCTCAGTCAGATCATTAAGATTTCCTCATATTTCTTACTACACACTACACCTGCCCTTGTGTTCCCAATATCTACTGATGATAGAGAATGTCAAAAGGTAGTAGGCTTCATGATGCAGGCCGTTGATCACAGAATATTCATTGATAAAGATAACTTTTTGGATTTTATGGCTAATTTAAGAAATAATTAATGAATGTTTGCAATATGGTTCAAGTGGCTCCAGTTGAGAGGTTTGGGTGTCCCTACCTTAGGATGGGGAAATCCTGGTAGCACAGTGGTTAAGTGCTCAGCTGCTAACCAAAAGGTCAGAGGTTCAAACCCACCACCTGCTCTGCGGGAGAAAGGCATGGCAGTCTGCTTCAGTAAAGATTAAACCATTGTCATGGAGTCGACTCTGACTCATAGAGACCCTGTAAGACAGAGTAGAACTTCCCCCATAGGGTTTCCAAGGCTGTAATCTTTACGGAGGAGCCCTGATGGTGCTGTCATTAAGTGCTCGGATGCTAACTAAAAGGTTGGCAGTTCGAACCCAGCACATCATGGAAGAAAGATATGTTTGCTTCCATAAAGATTACAGCCTTGGAAACCCTATGGGGAAATTCTACTTTGTCCTATAGGGTTGCTATGAGTTGGAATTGACTTCAGGGCAACAGGTTTACCTTAGGATGATGGAGATACTAGCAACAATAAATAACATTTCCACTGAGTTCCACAATTTGCAAGGTGTTATGATGTTTATTAGGGCAGCAGGGAGTCCTTTTCGTGGGAAGAGGTAACTTATTCTCACGCGGTAGCCAAGAGTTTTTTCTCTTAATTCCCTGGGCTGTCCAGGGGATCTTGGTGCTTCTCTCAAAAGAAAGGAAACACACAGGAAGGCTGACATTAGGAGCTAGTTCTGGGAACAGAGTAATTCGATTTTGGATTTGATGAATTTGAGGGGAGGGCTAACCACTAAGATGGAGAGTTCCAGATTCCTGCTGCTGCGTGGGCCAGATAGATTTTTGGGAGGTCACACAGTGAGGGAGTGAGCACACCTGACACGTGAGCCCGAGGGAAAGTCCACATTTGAGAGTGAGGAAGAGGAAAACAAAGAGGAAACCGAGAAGGGAGAAAGCAAGACTGGCAATTCCAGCGTTTGGCGGGTTAGGCTTAACCAAACGGTGGCATCTCAGTTAACTACATGAATGAGCAAAAACAGGCGCTGCAGGGGCTGCACCAAGTAACTCCACACATGCTAACAGTTAGTCTAAAATGTCTCTTTTCCTTTTGTTCGTTTCAGTATGTGAGGCAAGCGATCCAAAGACACCGTCTTGCCCAGGGTCCCACAGCTGAGTAACTGGCAGGAACAGCAAGCCACTCGCTGCTACCGGGGCTGCTAGAAAGCTCTGAAGGAACGACGTGCTTCGGAGCCTCCCAGCCCTTTGCCGGAGTCACCTCAACAGCCAGCCCAGAGGGCCGCGGCTTTCGGCGAGCGACCCGACCCCCCCACCCCGCCAGCTACGGAGTTGTCTCCATCACATCGCAAATACTAAGGAAAAACGCTAGAGGTGCGGGAGGAACGAAGATAAACCTGGTTTTAAAAACGCAAGCCAGTTTTAAAGAGCGTTCTACAAAGCAGACGGCGTCGGCAGCGTGAAGGACGGGAGCGACCGAGGCTGGACTGCGCCCTGCAGCTTGGGGGAAAAAGGACCTGCGCAAAGACCTCGGCAGAGCTGCGCCCTGGGAACGCGCGTGAGGAGGCAAACGCCCCGGGGCAGATACGCAAGAAACCGGAAGGGCGCCCGCGAAGAACCGATAACGAGCGGGGCGGGAACCCAGGCGGGGAGCTTTCGCGGGAAAGAGGAACGACTCGTCGGAGATGAGAGCGCGTGCGCGGAAGGCGCCGGGGCGGGGCCGAGCGGGAGATGGGGCGCTGTATTTTCGCTTAGGGTCGGGGGCGGTTCTAGGCGAACGGAGGTTGCTCCCGGCCTGCCGCTTGCTCGGAGGCCGCCAGGCGAGACATGGCCGTAGGGAGTGCCCCTGGGCGCGCCCTAAGGGTCCTCAGGTTGATCTGCCTGCTGCTCTCGTTCGGTGAGTGGAGGTCTTCCCCACCCCCCTCCCCTCGCCGCGCCGCACCGGCTAGCTAGGATTGACAAGCTCCGGGAGTGTCCGTGGTCCCAGGCGACTCTTCGCCCTCGGGGCGCCGGGGAGCCGGGGCTTGGTGGGCAAGGTGGGGCCGGGACGGGGAGGCCCAGGAGAATCACAGCCAGCGGGAGGCTTTCCGGGAGAGAAACTTATTTCATCAAGTCTCCATGCTATAGTCAGGAGGAAGCTTTAGCCTTGAGTCGCCTAAATCCTACTTGTCACGAAAATGGACAGGGCCCCAGCCCGCTCGCCGCTCTAGCCTAATTTGGGGGATGCTTCCTTTAGGGAGCTTTCCTAAGCTCCCCACCCGCACTCCACACACCTCCCCACCCAGTGTGCTCTACGGAAGAGTGTGCTTCTCTTCTAACACTCAGATGACTCCAAAGTAATACTTCCTGGGCCTCCACGTATCGTCTTCAAAAACCGCAGCAGACCTCATCGCTGCTTTCCCAGTCGGTGAGCTCGTCCAGAGTGTGGCAACCCGGTCCTACCTGCCGGAAGAACGAGGCTCCTCTAGCCTGCGCGCCTCCTCCGCCCTCCGGGCTAGGGCTTCGGAGCTCCGAGAGCCCGAGATATCTGTCCCGCCCCGCGGCTGCTGGTACTCTCAGTATCAGCAGACGACTTTTCAGAATTAGCTTACAGCGGGCAGGGGAGCGGGGCAGGGCGAAGCATTTTCAGTAGATTGTGACCTCACTTCAGAGTTCCTTAGGTAGTGTGACTGCTGCACTGTTCCGTTTAAAACATAGAAGAACTAACGTAGGAGTGTCTGTCTACTGTTATCCCTTCCACACTTGTTCAGTCACAACAGCTCCATGAAAGAGAGAATCTTTGGCCTCATTTTTACTTCCTCACCCTCATAATCTCCACACACAGGATTTTAGTGGAGTCATAACCAACCGCTGATTTACAGCAATAACCCCCTGACTAGCTCTTTTTTCTTTGAGGTCTCCTCATTGTGGGCCCTTTGATACATGACTTGCAAATCCATCTTCCATCTCCATTCACTTATCTGTTGCATGTTTTCTGAGTGCCTGTGGGGTAGATACATCTATGGAGTACAGCTTAACTGGGGTTTGGGGAGTATTGGGATATCCTCAAAAGTACCTACATTATGCTATAAAGAAATAAGTGTTGTAAGAGAGGTTAAAATAAAGTGCAGAGAAGAAAACATCTTTTGTGATCTCCAAGTCTGTATGAAAGTCAGGGTATTTGAACCTGGCCTCTGAGGACAGTTAGTATGTGGACGTGTGATGATGTAGGAGAAATTCTGAGAGAAGGAGACCCGGTAAGCAGGGAGTGAGAGCATGCAAGGTGAACTTGGGCAGTAGAGGGTCATTCAGTGACTGAAGAGTAGATGTGCCCATGGGAGCTTGAGGCCCCGTGGTGAACCTCTGTGTGCCCCCCTTGAAGTTTGGGCTCTCTTCTGCAGACAAAGGAGAGATGTTTCTGGCCTGATAGGATCAGAACCATGCAGTTGGGAAAGATAATCTGGCAGCAGTAAAGAGAAAAAAATTGCTATCATGAGAAATTGGAGGTAGAGAGGCCAGAGTGCACTACCATTACAGGGCCCAAGAGCTGTGATGATTTCATACGCTGGTGGCTGTGGGAAAGGAGGGGAAGAGATGCATTTAGAGATTGAATGGATGGGGTGACTCTCCTCTGGAAGAGCTGGTCTCTCATTCCCTGGTACCGGAATGCACCTCTGGCCACCGCTGCCTGGCTCTGTGTTCTCTCTTCCAACTGTAAACCCCATGGAAGCCCCACCTCCTCCAGGAAGAGTCTCTGAACAGACCCCCATGGTGGTCTCTCCCTCCTAACTCATACATTTATTCAGAGGTCATTTCATTCAGCAAGCATGTATTTATCACCCAATCTGAATGAACATCAAATTAAGGACAAGTCTGAATGGTACAGCCCTGTAGGTGAGCTCTTTTGGGGGCAGAGCCTGCCTCACTAGGGAAGCTGCTCCACACAGTGATGAACAGCTTCAGCACTAGAATCGGATACCTTGCTTCAAATCCTGCCCCCTACCCCACAGACACCTGAGTTATGAACCTGTGTAAGTTACCTAACTTCTGTGTGCCTCAGTGTCTTCCCCTTTGGAGAGAGAGAGAACACACACTCACATGAGAGAAAGGATAATAATAATATCTATTTCATCAAATTATTGTGAACATTCAGTCATTCACCAAATCTTTATTGAGTGCCAACTCTGTGTTAGGTGCTTTAGGAGGGACGAGGGAAACAGCAAGGAACAAACAGTTCCCAGCCCTTGTGAACTCACATAAAACAAAAAGCAAACCCACTGCCATTGAGTCCATCGTGACTCACAGTGACCCCGTAGGGTTTCCAAGGCCGTAGTCTTTACAGAAGTGGACTGCCACATCTGCTGCTGCTGGTGGTTTCTAACTGCCAACTTTTTGGTTAGTGCTTGAGCGCTTTAACTACTACATCACCAGGGCTATGTGAAACTCACATAGTGGGGTAGAAAGTCAGTAAATACATAAACAGGTAAGTATATAGGTGTTGGCTGATGATCAGGTAAACATGTAGTGATATGAAGATTAGTAAAGCAAAGGAAAGAGAACTGGAAGTGGTTTATATTTGTTTTAAGTTTTGGAAAATTTTGCAGAAATAGCACAATGAACACTTGCACATCTTCTCAAATCACCAGTTATTAACATTTTGTCACATTTGTTTTACTTTTCCTTCTTTACACACACATTTTTTTCTTTCTGAGTCATTTGAGACTTGCAGACCTCATGACACTTGACCTAACATGTCTCCTAAGCATCCTCCGACAAGTCCCTAAATCATTACCACACTCATGAAATCTAGCATTGCTCTAGTACTGTGTTCTCATATAGAATATGGATGCCAGTCCTGGATCTCATGGTGTAGTCATCTTGCTTTAGTCTCCTTTAATTTAAAATTGTTGCATACTCTTTTTTTTTTTTTTTTTTGTGCTTTATGACATCACCATTTTTGAAGAGTCTGGGTCAGTTGTACAGAATGTCCCTCAATTTGGATTGTCTGGTTGTTTCCTCATGATTAGGTTCTAGTTAAAACTTTTCCAGCAGGAGTATTTCCTAGTTGGTGCCCTGTTCAGTGCATCACATCAGGAGGCAGATACAGCCAGTTTGTCCCGTGATTAGCAATGCTAAGTTTCATCAGTTGGTTAAGGTGACATCCACCAGATTTCTCCATTGTAAAGGCATCTTTTCCCCTTTATAAGTAATATGTGATTTATTAAGTGTGATAAATCACACTTTGAGATCGTGTGAATATCCTGTTCCCCAACAGTCTTTCACCCAATGGTTTTAGCATCCAATGGTGATTCTTCCCAGAATCAGTATTACTAAAATATTTTGGCAATTTTCTATTTCTGTTTTTCTGTGTACATGTATTAATTGGCATTCTTCAGTGGAGAAGAGGATTTGCACATATACTCCTTTTATTTAATTTTAGTATTAGTATGAATTCATGGCTTTTTCTAAATTGTTTTAATCCATTCCTGTCATTATTCATTTTGGTGCTCAGATATTCCAGATTTATCAGGTTGGAACCCCTTCACGTGGGCTTCAGTGTACTTTTGACATGTTCCCATCAGTTTTGGAGCACTTCCTTGCTTTCTGGCACAAAAAAATATTCTGTACTCATTTTGTACACTTCCTGCTTAGTCTTGGAATCATTAGATTCCCTGGTCCTTTTTAGTGGGGAATGATATGTAGAAACCAAGATCTGGGTGCTAGGTGTGCTCAAGGCTACTGGAATCATTGCTTCTAGGCCCTGTCAGTTGTCAGATCTGGGAAATAGAATTTTTATAAAGCTATGAGTTCATCCTGAAATCTGTAAGTCCTGATACCTCCATCCATATTTGTATCTCTCTTTTGCCACAGCATCAAAATACATTAGTAATAACATCAATGTATTTTCCTAATCTTTCTTTAAATACAAAATAGTTTCACAGTTGTACCAATACCACTACCAACTATACACTTAATTTTTATTTTTATTCTTCAGTATATTCCACTGAAGATGTAGCAAATACTGTATTCAAAACTTACTTGATTAATTTTTCCCCCCTGTGTAGTTATGCTATCAGTTTGATATACAGTTGCATTGATTTGTTTCTGTTTCTATTCAATTTTAGGGTTTTTTTTCTTGATTTAATTTTTTAAAATGTAAAATATTAACATGGTTCAGTCAAACTATCTAAAAAGATATGCTCAGGGAAGTCCTATTTCCACCCTCTCCCTTTTCCTCCCAGGTAACAGATATCATTTGCTTCTTCTTTTTTTTTTTTTTTTTTAAATCTTTCCTCGTTTCTTTTTTGCAGCTATGAACAGATACATATGTTTGTTTTTAACTCTGCTTCTTAAACAACAGGTAACTGTTGCACTTTGGTTTTGTCACTTAATCATATATCTTGAAAATCATCCATATCAGTTCAGTTCATACAGATCATAGAGTTTTTTCCTTTCTTTTTTTTACAATTCCATAGTAGTACTCCATGGGGTAACTATATGATAGTTCATTCAGCCACTCACTGCTGGTTAGTATTTTATAGTGTTGTCAGGAGGGTATCTTTAACAGGGTGACAGTTGAGCATAGACTTAAAGGAAGTGAGGGAACAGGCCATGCTGGGGGGTCAGTATTCCAGGCAGAGGGGCCGACTGGGGCAGAAAACCTGAGATAGATGTCAGGCACTTAAGGAACTTCTGTGGCCGAAGTCCAGCAAACAAGGCGGAGAGTAGTAGAAAAGGAAGTTGTGGAAGTAATCAGGGTCAGCTCTATAGATAAAAGTGTTGGGCCCTTTTAAAAGACTTTGGCTTTTTTACTCCCAGTGAAATGGGAAGTGAGTGGAGGGTTTCGGACATGGAGTAAAATTATGATGACTTGAGTTTTTAAAAGAACAACACTAGCTGCTGAGGGGAGAATAGTTTCTAAGGGGAGCAAAGGCAGAAGTTGGGAGACCAGTTAGGAAGCCCCTAACAATGGCAGGGGGCCGAGAAGTGAGAAATCTGGATGTGGTTAGAAGGTGGAGCCCTCAGGATTTGGTGCTGAATTGCATTAAGTGAAGCAACAGTGGACAGGGAGTAGGTGGTGCTGGACAAGTAGCAAGGGCTCAAAAATGGGAACAGTTTGATTACTTAGCTCTTTTTAGCAGAGCCTGGCTTTTATAGATCTTTTATGTTGCCCACTCTCTCCCCAGCTAGAATGTAAGTTCCTTGTATGCAAGAACTAAGGAAATTAAGTCATATCCTTAAAAAAATTCCTTGTATTTATTTTTAATAATACAGATTTTTAGATCTAGACTAGATAAGTATTTGTCAAACATTTCATTTTTTACAGAAGGATATTATCTGAGACTTGTTCATATGCCTTGCAGAAATCAAAATTCAGATAATCTGTGTGTTTTTATTTACGAAGGAGAATATAAGTCAAAACAGCGTTGCATATTCCTGTGGGAAACCTAGACCCTGTGTTATAGTGGGGTGTAAATAATAACAGCCGACATAGATTAAGCACTTGCTCTGTGCCAGCCGCTGTGCTTAATATTTTTAGACTTTTTTTCTTTCATTTAATTGTTACAACAACTTTGATAGATTGGGCCTGTTAAAAGAGGAAAACAAGGCATAAAGAGGTTAGTATCTTGCCTAAGTTCACACAGCACACAGTGGCAGAGTGAGTTTGAACCCAGGTCTGCTGACTCCCAGCTTAACTTTAGCCTCTCTGGTGTATTCCTATCTCAAGGTCAGATAGATACCCAGCTTTTTGTAGAAATTGGTACAGTTTTAATTGACTTGTTATAAATGACATGTATACATACACAGTATAATTTTGTTAAAGCTTGTGAAATTGTATGTTGTTGTTGTGTACCATTGAATCAATTCCGACTGATAGTGACCATATAGAATAGAGTAGAACTGCCCCATGGGGTTTCCAAGGCTGAAATCTTTACAGAATCAGACCGCCACATCTTTCTCCCGCGGAGCAGCTGGTAGGTGTGGCTGCCGAACTTTCAATTAGCAGTCGGGCACTTTTAACCACTGCGCCACCAGGGCTCCTTATTGTCTATAATAGAACATTAAAAAAACAAAAACAAGAAAACTTTTTGTTGTTATTTTTTGGGCTCTTTTGTCCATAGAATTCAGAATGGTTTCTTTGGTTTACTTATATATTTGTTTCTAATTATTTTAGCATTTTGTCCTGTTTACACTGTTTCTCTACACACTCTAACACTTTTGCATAATTCCAATAACATTGTAATATCTGAGAAAATAATTCCACGATATTATCTAATTTCTGTGCTTTTTCAAATTTCTCCAATTGTGACAAGAATTTTCTATTTTTTTAAAACAGGTTTTACTCATATTTTTGCTATGTTTTTGGTTTAATTTTCAGAAATTTTGAAGGAGACTTAGAACCACTTTTGAACTTTTTAGGAACTTAATCTAGTAATTTTTTTTTATTGCCCTCTTTTTGTCACTAGTGACTCCGTTAATAAATATAGGCTTTGAGTGTAGGTATTGATTTCTCTATATGTGAAAGCATAAAGTTTATCTGCGTGAGTCAGCTCTTATTTGCAGGAGTTTTCTGTCTTTTGAGGTCTTCTCAGGTTGTTTCTTTTCAAGTGCAGAAGGTTTTTTTTGAAGCTTTCACCAAGGGAGTGATGAGAAGCTTTTACTCGAGGGCACAGCCCCTTAGATTCTCTGGTCACAAATCAAACCTACTATCTCAGGTTTGTAAGTGAAACCAGGATTCAGTCTTTTCCCTTTTCTCAGACAAGTTTAGGTTTGACTATGAAGTGTGACTGTAAAATAATGAGTCTGTCTCTAGAAAAGTACTGGAAATCACTTTAGCTGCGCCTCTTTGGAGGTTGCATTCAGTGCCTGCCCACTAGCCTGGGAGGAAAATGCCTTTCAGTTGTTGTCTAGGCACTTTTCTTTTTTATTGTGTTCGTTTGTGCCCTTTGGCTTCTCCGCAGCTGCTGCTGGACCCTGTGCTGGTGAGCTGTTAGTCCAAGGGTTCTCCAATCAAAGGAAGCCAATTGAAGTAAAGGCAACCTCTTGGCAAGAATCAGTGAAATAAATTCATGTCTGTTCCCTGTCCGCAATTGAAGGCCATTCGTTTAAAGGTCTGTTGTCTCTCAACTCGGTATCTATTGGAGGGAATTAAATTATTTTGATAGGCTTATTCTCAGTGAATAAACCCATGTTGGGTCCTAGTGACCTTTATTTCCTCTTCAGAATGCCCCCCTAAATGCCTTTGGAGATTAGTGGTCTAGTTTCTGAGTGTTTTTCCCATAGCAATGAAAAATTATTTTTTTTTTAAAAAGTTTAATATACATATTCATAAAAATAATAAATTCAGATTAATAAGAAACTAATAAGGCTGTGTCATTATAAATTAGTTGCAATAGAATTTCTCCACTATGAACTGAATAACTGGAGGATAATCAGGGGTTATTAAGGAATTTTAATGAAATCATCAATAGTGTATTGAAATACCGTGAATCGGACTTTAAAGAATAGATTTAAAAAGACTCAGGAACTGTTAACTAGCTCTAGTAAAAAAAACTTATTTTCCAAAATATGCTGTGGATCTCAGATGTATCCTGTCTAAGACAAGAATAAAAACAAAAAAACCAAAACCTATAGGAACGAGTAGAACTGCCCCATAGGGTTTCCAAGGAGTGACTGGTGGATTTGTTAGCAGCCAAGCTCTTAACCGCTGTGCCACCAGGGCTCCAAACAATAGTCAGAGGCAAGTGTGGCTTTTGAGCATGATGGGATGTGGATGCCTTGAAAGGTCAGTCTAGAGTAGTGCCATCAAATAGAAATGTAATATACATCACGTATGGAATTTTAAACTTTCTATTAAACCCCAAAACTCAAACCCATCGCCACTGAGTTGATTCCAACTCCTGGCTAACCTGTAGGACAGAGTAGAATTGCCCCATAGGGTTTCCAAGGAGCAGATGGTGGATTTGAACTGCTAACCGTTTGATTAGCAGCCAAGCTTTTAAGCACTGCACCACCAGGGCTCCAATTAGTCATATTAAAAAAAAAAAAAAAATGAACAGGTGAAATTACTTTTTTTTATTGTTGTGCTTTAAGTGAAAGTTTACAATTCAACTTAGTCTCTCATACAAAAATTTATACATGCATTATTATGTGACCCTAGTTGCTCTCCCTATAATGTGACAGCACACTCCTCCTTTCCACCCTGGATTTCCAGGTCCAGTCAACCAGCTCTGGACCTTCTCTGCCTTCTCATCTTGCATCTAGACAGGAGCTGCCCATTTAGTCTCATGTATCTACTTGAGCTAAGAAGCACACTCTTCATGAGTATCATTTTATGTCTCATAGTCCAGTCTAGTCGTTGTCTGAAGAGTTGGCTTCGGGAATAGTTTTAGTTTTGGGCTACTAGAGAGTCTGGGTGCCATGTCTTCTGGGGTCCTTCCAGTCTCAGTCAAACCATTAAGTCTGGTCTTTTTACTAGAATTTGAGTTCTGC